GTCTTCCGACCACTCAAAGCGCTTTTACACTACATGCTACATTTGCCCTTTCACACACATTTACTCAGTTACCATCCATTTACTCTTGAATGTGGAGAGAGTGTCTGCCTCCCAAGCCCTAACTGGAAGCTGGTTCCACAGGAGAAGAGCTTGGTAATTGAAAGCTCTGGCTCCCAAATAAAATGACAGATTTCTCTAGGTTTGAACGTAGTTGGAAACATTTCTGATAATGTGAGTACACAGCTCAACAAAATATTTAGATCTTGTGTTAATAGTAATTTTAATGAGGAAATGTTACATAGTATAGCTTCAAAGGATAAGATTGGTAATATTCTATACATTCTTACAGTCAACAAATTCCACAGAAAGCTCAAAACCAACAATGAATTGATCAACAAATAATGTGTGTGAATGAAAAGCTTGCTTTGCTCATGAATCATTTTTACACAAACTCATGTAAATACCCTTTTTAAAAATTATTTGCAGTCCATGTTGCTATAGTCTGAATCATTCATTGAATGCTTGATTACACTTACCGTGATCTTTTTGTGTTCATTATATTCTGAAGAATAATCTCTTTGTAAAAAATGTGTGAATGTCTGGCAACTGCACTTCTGCTATCAAAGGCTACCACGGTGGCTCCTGGCTACATCTGCAATTGCAACTCTGGCTGGCAAGGAGTGAACTGTGACCAAAATATCAATGAATGTTTGAGCAATCCCTGCCAAAATGGAGGAACCTGCAACGACGGAATTAATGGATTCACATGTACTTGCACTGCCCAGTGGACAGGCCAATTCTGCCAGACCTCACAGCAAGGTATTGGCAGGACAAGAACATATGGGGGGAAGGGAAGAAGGAGGGAGGGATGGACTGAAAGGAGGTGGAGAAATAGCAAGGACAAGGTAAAGAGAGTAGAATGGATCTAAGAAGAAATTCAGGGACTGGATGGGCTGGTTAGACTTTTGGGGACTATGAGACATTAATATTATTATTTAATATTTTATTTATTTTATTACCTTTATAATAATATAGTATAAACTGTGTTATTCTTAATCAATCCTTATATTAAGTATAGAATTATCTTCATTCATATTTTTTCTCTGGGTAAATGTAGTTGCAAAGTTTGTAGAATGTTATAAATGTTTTTCTTTGAATGTCAAAACCTGTTTCACATTGATGTGATAGTTGTATCTTCTTATAGGATGTATTATTTTGTGACTGTAATTCCTGCTTCATGTTGTTTAGAAGCTCTACACAACAGACACGTAATCAGCTTCCCTTTAACAATTCTAACAGACCTGAAATCCCACACTGCTAGTCACTCAATTTAGGTTTAGTTACAATGTTTTGATTCGAGACTTACATAGCTAAATAAAGTAACCTTGATTTAAAGACCAAATGTAGGGGCAAATGTGTACTTTCACAGCAAGAATTCTCGATCAGTAAACATAATGCTTTAGACCTACCTGACATTTAAAAATGGCAAGTAAGAATATTTATTCATTTTGATCATAATTGCTTTTTTTTTTTTAACCTATGGCCTTTTTTGGACAAAAAGACTAACATACAATAACAAGTACCCCTCATCCATTGCCCTTTGTGTTGTTTTGTCCAATCTTAATGCAAAGTATATAATGGGTCTGCTGTCACCAAGTGCTACTTTAAGCATGTATGTGTGTTCCAGTGTGTGGAGGTCACCTGACTGGCCCCGCTGGTTCCTTCAGTTACCCTAACACCCCAGGTCATGATGAATACGATCACCAGGTCAGCTGTGCTTGGGTGATCCGTGTTGATGCAAACAAGGTCAGTTGCAGTGTCTCTTCGATAAAACAGATTTCCTTTTCTTTTTGTAATTTCATTCATTCATTAGAGAGCTAGTGCACAGTCAGCTTGTTTGACCCTCAAGGCTAACAAAATGCCTCTTAGTAGATGATCTCTTGATTTAACAAATAAATCATCCCTTGATGTTATTGTGTTGTTCAATCAATCAAACATTTATTTTTAAATTCCTTAATTTAATTCAGTCATAGGACCAGAAAACAAGGTCCAGAAAACATCCTCATGCATGTTGTAAACATTGCTGGGATCACATTACTTTTCACATTACCACCCCACTGGAAGCACTACAGTTGATTTTGTGCAGTTACATTACATATGGTTGCTTATTGAAAAATGAAACAAGTGAATGCTTGAGAAATAGACATTGTTAGCAATAGCAGATGTGATTACATTTTAAATACCAAATACCTGTGACAATGACAATAAAGATCTATTCTATTCTATTCTATTCTAATATAGCAGATTGACAGAGATCCTTTGAATTCTGTGTGTTCTCTTCTTTAGATTCTGCGTATTACCTTTCCTTTCTTTCATCTGGAGAGCAGCACCAACTGCAACTTTGACTTCCTTCAGATTCATGATGGGGACAGCGCATCTGCTTACATGATCGGAAAATTCTGTGGCCAAAATAACCCACAGGAGCTCTACAGCTCCCACAATTCACTGTATTTTTGGTTTCGTTCTGACCACTCTGTCAGTGCTGGTGGCTTCACAGTTGCTTGGCAGTCTCAGGAGCCAGGTGGGCATGTTTCTTCTGGTTTGGTTTAGTTAATGAGTAAGGTATTATTATGTATATATTCACAGAAGAAGAAAGAAACACAAGTCAAGGTATTGACCTTGTACCATGACAAAGGTCAGTCGTCAATATACACACAAAAAACATTTTTGCCATGCTCATAGTGGACCCCTAGAAATTTTTCGCCACGACTGACGTGCATTTCATGAGTTTTCGAGCATGGGAGGCGAGTGCGAGAGTGTGTTCGGCATGGAAAGAGCGCTCCAAAATGGGTTTGCCGAGCAGCATTTGATAGCCTGTTGGTTGGGTGATGGGGAAGCAAAACGTGCGAGAGAGGTCGACCGCGAAAAAACGTACGGAAAATCATAATAATGATATATGAGTGTACATAAAAAGATATAAAAATGACACTTCCTTTCACCACGTTTAGGTAGCTCTCTGCAGCTAGAGGATAAATGAGTCATCACCATAGATGTGTTCGCGCGCGCGGAGGGTGGGGACTGCTTTGAGTCAGTCAGGGGGGAGAGTTTGGAGCCGGATTGGCACAAGTACACTCAAGTGAAGGTGTACAGCTCAAGTTATTAGCAAATTTTGGTGTGTTCTGGTGTGTACATCAAAATTTGACTCCACGCCCGGACAGCGCGGCGGTTAACAGAAAACTCACGCACGAGTCATGATGGAGATAGCGAGTCAAGGCAATAGTATTTTGTTCATTGTTTGACAAAATTTGTAGGTGGCCCTCGGATTAGCTGGTTAGAGTAGACAATAGAAGGTATACAAAACATGACGAATTTCCTGTCACCGGGGTGGCGGGGTGGCCGCTCTCGAAGCCTTGTATCCTGACATATTATCACATAGACATGCGTTCAGTGGGCGGGGGAAGCACTTTTTCTTTCTGCAAGTCAAACGTGAAGTTTCGTTGGAATCGATCATGACGCAAGAAAGTTATGACAGAAAGAGAGGGAGGCTTGCGCTTGTCGTACATGTCGAGTCGGTTAAGAAATGTTGACACCGTTGCAGGGGCCGACGCTCGCGGAGCGCGCGCAGAGAGTCGGTTGAAGTGAGCGCAAACTTTTACATCATGAAGTGGTCTTTAGAATGGGCTGCGGTATCCAATGTGAGAGGTCGATCTGATATAGAATTCCCTAGGAGGTAATTCGTTCAAACTAAAATGGTGGGAAATCGCCAGAGGAATGATGGACGCTAAATGCCCAAAAATGGGCCGACTTCCTGGGGTTGGTTTGGATAGTGTCGCGCCCACTGTAGATTTTTTGTGGCATCAGGATACAGATGTACGTGTGTGCCGTTCGTTGTATGGCGTATCGGGTGAAAGGGCCACAGGGTGGTACAGTTTATGGCCCCTGCAGAGGGGGGCCACTGTTGGGCCATGCCTCAGTTGGCCCTAGGAGAAAAAAGGAGTTGTAGAAATCGGCGAGGCGCAAGGGCTGTGACATGTGCGCCGCATTCATGACTTATCGACCCATGAAAAGCCTCCAAAAGAGATGCGATTCATTTGTTAACTAAAATAGATAAATAATCACTTACAGATGTATAATGTAGCCGTTGCACCGGTCAGTGGCTCGGCCCTAAGTAACCCGTTATATACAATGAGGCGCCTTTGCACGTCAGTGCTCAGGCGCCCTAATCACGTGAAACCTTAAACCTGAAATCTCCTTCTCATCTCTAGTTGCGGGGAGGCGAACTAAGCTCCCCCTATGGCAACGATTAATGTCACCGGGTTACCCTGGAAACTAACCCACCTAGCCTGTGTGTAGTGACAGTGGCCAACTTGCTCATACCGTTTGCTCTTCCCGCGGACTCTTAGTCTGGAGCATCACCCTGCTGCAATTGATGCGTCCTAGGGAAGGTAAGAAATGCAGCATGATATATCCCTATATTTTTGCATTTTGTGTAACTCAATCATTAAACAAAAAGAATCTCACTTTCACAGTGGGTCTTCTTAAAAACGAATTTATTTTTGAAGTACTTCAAATGTAGAGTGTGACCGAACCATTTTTTCCCTCCCGATACGATTGCCATACTTTTGCTGTGGGTACCGGCCGGATACGAGTACCGATGCCGATTATAAAAAAAAATATCATACTACGCTGCATTGGCTGCTGGATATGCATGGATATTCATTGTGGTAAGGCCTGGTCAGGGGTTAACACTTTGTAAAACATGAGCCGCGGGCACCGACGGCGCGCGCACCCGAGGCGCGCGCGCGCGGCAGTTCACGCGAGCGCCCGATTTTATTTTAAATAAAACAGTTTAAACAAGGCTTATAAAAAAGGCTTTCCAGAGTTTGCTGCTGGTGGCTCGTCCTTCGTTTTCCCTTTTGTTCGTTTAGAAATTCGTCGTGCTCGTTTGAGCCGGCCCGGGGTCGGACGGCTGTCTGCAACGGGGCTGTTGCATGTAAATGTTGCGTTGGGTGGAAGAGAGTGACACTTCGCGCGCGGAGGCATTTATCGTGCACGGGCGCAGACACTTACATGTGCGCGAGTCTTACTGGTGGGCAGTTCCGCGGAAGAGTGCCAGCACCGCGCGACATGTAGTGCGGTAGGGTATTGTGCGCTGAGCTCCAAAAAATGCTCGCGGCAAGGGGCGGACACACTGGTGTGACTGTTGTGTCTGGTGGTTGAAGGATCAATTCCTCCTCGTTCCCTCTAAAACAGCAGCTGCAGGTTTGCGCACAGCGCCCACTGTTGTTAAGAGCGGCGAAGGAAGAGAACTGTACCAGAGTCTATTTAACGGGAGCTAACCAGGAAATAGAATTGACTAAATTAATAAATGACGGTGGTATCGATCGGTGCCTGGGACTCCAGGACTCGCCGATACCGATGCCAGCATTTTCGGCAGTATAGGAGCAATTTCCGATACTGGTATTGGAATCGGAACAACTCTAACTTCAAAGCTACTAAAGGTATCAATTTTAGTTCAAGTTGTCTGTCATGTGCACAACAGTCAGTGCAGCAGTCAAACGGCAATGAAGTTCTCAGATATTAGGTAGGTATTTCACAGATTGAAATGAATAACATTTTAGTTTAAAGGTATGGCTTTTCTGTATCAACTAGGGCAATGTTCTTTTAACTTTATTCCCTCACTTAAATCCAAAAATTGCGTACCAGGTTGTCTATAAATAGAATCTCTAGCTTAGTGCTGAATCCAAAGTACTATAGCACTGGTTGTGCAATGTATGCCACTAGTGATACTACTCCATGAAAGAAGCTTGTTATGTAGAACTTCAATCAATTATTCTTCTATTTATTGTCTTGTGTGGCCAAATGTTGTAGATCCGGGATGGTCTTCTACCTGAAGACCCAGTTCTGGGAAAGTACTGCAGTACTGCATCACCTGCCCCCCTTCAGACTACCGGTCCAGCTGCATGGATCCACTTCCACTCCGACTTCAGTGTCTCTGACCGAGGCTTCCACATAACTTACACAACATCAGAAAGTAAGAAACTCTCTATACCAAATAGGACAGTGCACCATGTCACAATGTAACATAGTACATTGTGCACCTGCCTCACATGACATTTATTGGAAAATAATTTTTTACCTTGAGAGCAGTATAATAGGACAGGACAACTTTAGGCTCACTAGGCTTGGAATCAGCTCTTAAAAAAATGCCATAAAGTTATAAGTTATATTTTTATACTATTTTATCATTTTATTTCAAGTTTAGACATTGGGTTTTAAAATATTTTTTTTGCCAAACAGAGAAAAAGATTGGTAGGCAACTGTGGTCAAATCTGGGTGTCGCCCTTGATATGTGATTGACAGCCATTAGTTTAATTAGATTAGAGAGAAGACCTTTTTCCAATTTGTATGTATTAAATAGTTTCTGAAAATACATCTACTGATGCCTCTGGAGACATCTCTAGTAATTTTCCTGGACCCCAATTTGTGTCCAGATATCTAGCTACAGTGCTAGCGAGTAAAATAAAAATACTTCTTGTAAGAGTTCACATTAACAGAACTCATGTCCCCCAATATCCATAGTTTTGGATCCTGCTCAATGTGAGATCTTATCATCTTTGAGGTTAATGCAATACTATGTTTTTCTATTTTTTATTTATATAATTGGGCAATTCCACAGCATATGTAGGAGATCACCTTTTGTCATTTTACATCTCTGACACATGAAATGTAATTTGCTGTCAATTCTATATAACCTGAGGGGAGTGTAATATGTTCTATGGAGCAGATGATTCCGGGCCTCCTCACCATAAACACAGCCTAAATCTGTTTCCCATTTTTCTTTGATGGATGTTATTTGCCATTAATGATACCATATATAGATGTTAATCCTCTCGTTGTTCTACATAACCTATTTTACAGGTAAGTATCAAAAGCAGTTTCCTTTGGAATATCTGGGGAAATCTTCAGAGTTTTCTTTAACCCATTGTCTAATTTGAAGGAATTTGAAAACAATGTATTTAAGAAGGTTGAATTTTATCGGCACCTGGTTAGCTTAGTTGGTAGAGCTGGCGTCCCATGTACTGAGGCTGAGTCTTTGCTGCAGCGGCTCAGGGTTCTAATCCGACCTGCTGCCCTTTGCTGCATGTCATCCCCTCTTTCTGCCCCCCTTTCCTGTCTGTATACTAATACAACAACAAAAAAAAAGAAGTGAATTTTTCAGTAAGTTGTTGGAAGGTGGCAAATGTATCATTTATGTATAAGTCCTTGCGTGAATTTCTTTGTCTTTCGATCTTTGTAATATTGTTTCAGCAATGTTGTTTTAAAGATTAGGGTTGCCCCATAAATTAGTCTTCCTGAGAAATTAGACATTTAGATCTAAAAGTGAGTGATTCTTGCCAAGTATTATAGAGTTTGTGGATAAACATTTTTTGTATACATTGGACTACATTTAAAAGTGTAGTCTTCATCTCTACTCATCTCTCTTCTATTGAGAGCCATCTCACCTCACTGT